TTTTTTTTTGTTTTATTACCCAAGACATCAGTCCAAGTTGGACTTTGTTTGCCTATTAATAACTGGCACCTTGCAGTTATCATCATAGCTTAATATAATAACGTGTTCTTTAATTTAATTCTCAGGTACCCAAGGGAGTGTATTCTTTATGCAGGGTGCTTCAAAAAGAGGTGTGTTCTTAACTTAAATATAACATGATATTAGTTGATGTATCATTTTTATTCACTTTATTATAAAATCCTGTTATTTTTAATCATGCCAAATCCTACATTACACTCGTTGTAAGTTGTGTTTTTTGTTTTTGTTTTCATTCTTTCTCCATGCCTTATTGACTGTGACTCCGGCCACTAATAATGATATTTTGTCATATTCGTTTCTCTAGGCCCTTTTATTGTTTGATAATGATATATCAAATCTAAAGGGTGGAGGAGATCTGAAGGATCTATCAAACCTAAGGGTGAGAGCTAGAAATGTTGTACATTAATTGATTGATTAAAATTAATTAAGATTTATTGTAAAAACTGTCATCTTTTTTGGCAACCGCCTGTTTTTAGCAACCCAACAGAACAGTTTCAGTCATTTTCCCATCCATAAAATCACCACTGATCATGGTCATGAAAACTCTGTCATAATGAATATTCTTATTATCACCTGGCATTTCAACTGGTTCTGTTGACTAATGGCAGATTTATACACTTGCTGTATGAAAGTAAAGGTTGCACATTACAAAATATTTTTTGGTCCCATTATCAGCTGGCAAGTGTAAATAAGTGGCCGTAATGATGAGAACCTTTTGCTAACTGCAGTGTGCAACACAGTTTTTATCATGGCAGTGGGTATAGGTAATTGCTTTTGCTGCATGCTGTTTCTTTTGGCGAATAACTTTTTGGTAATTACAATGTTAGCAGATGTTTGTTTCTACAAATTTTATTGTTGGTCAGGATAAGGTGTGAAAGAGGTCTAAAACCTGATGTTATAAAAGGGATGGTAAATGCTCCTTTAAAAAACCATGAGTCTCACAAAATTTCCATCAAATTTCACGGTCGGTCAGTTTCAATATTATGCAAGGCTAAAAACATCTGGAGGTACCAATTTGATGGGTTTTTTTGATAAATGACATCTGAACATCTGGAGCTTGCATTTAAAACACTTTGAAGAAGTCAAAATGTCTTGGGCTCGCAAAGAAAAACACTAGCCTCGCCTTCTCGCAAAGTCTTGCATTTACTATTTCACCATCCCTTATATGTGGCTAAATGTAATTTAGGCTAAGTTAAACGCAAGACCATGCTGGCCAGCAGTATCTCCCGGGGTTTTGGTGCGGGGTGGCTGGGGGTTTC